CTTTATTAATGTTCGCCTATGAATTTTAATCACGTCCTTATACACGGGAGGTTATCATAAAGACGATGAGAACGTGTCCACCGTCACATAGTGACATAGGACGAGGACATTATTGCGTGGTATAGCATAATCAAGGTTATGGTAACGAGAGGTTTACCCTTAAATGCCAAGACTAAATGAACTTTCCGAGTAGAAATGCTCTCCATGTCACAGCCTAAATATTCGAAATAACCATTCGCGTGTTAACCCACACCATGGACAAATTGGAAACCATAAATACTTTGAACTCGTTCTCATGTCTCTCTCGTTATATATTATATATATATATATAGTATATTATATAGTTATATGTGTGTGTGTGGCGTGCTGCTGCGTGCGCGTGGTGTGCGTGTGTGGATAGTGTGCGTGTGTGTGTTGGCCCACACTGTTGGCTGATTTTCTAAAAGACGACATATAACCACGGCCTAATAGCTGCCTAATTCTTGCCGCTGAAAACAGGATTATTGCACAAGACTGTATACGTGTCTGCTGACTACTGATCTGGTGCGATGAAAACCCGCCTTTGTCTGCTCTTCATGACCTGCATGCAAATTGTACTTACTCCGCTTGCATATATAATAGGACTGATCAACGGCAGGCTTACATAAGTTTAGCCGTCCTCCTCCGCCGCCACACGCTCACGCGCGACATAGCACTCTTACACGCTGCCACAATTATATGCCACCTGACGAAGTAATAGATCAGCGAGAGAGACTTGGGTTTATGTATGATTCACACGAGAGACGAACGAACGCATTTTGACTTACTGATTACCCAAGTAATGTGAATAATTATGTAGAATTAGTTGTCGCTATATGTATATTACGAACATGCGCTGTGAGAGAGCGACGAATGCAAACCAAATTTTACTGGATCAAGCTAAGTGCTGTTTTTCACTAACAACGTTTATAGCGAAATTATCTTCATCGCAGTTATCATAGATTCCATCGTCCGTTTTTCTATTTGCAAGTCATTATTAGTTTAATGGAAATATGTTGCGTCTTAAAAAACGTAGGGATAAATTATAAACCTGGTATTAAACAATTATCCTTAGCAGAAATATTCTACTAAGCTTGCGTACAAGATTCCAATCGGATTATCGCATGCCACGCTAACAAGGCGAGTAAACCACTGTTTAACGATTAGCATTGAGAAATCATGGCCAACGCAATGCTACTGCGCATGCCGCTTTAGTTTCGAATAGAAAAAAACTCAGAAAGCTTGAGAGCAAGCTTCTAAGAAGCTCGCAGAGACCTCCACGCCTCATGGTTATCCACATCATTGTTAATGCAAAGAGCCAATATCGAAGGATATATTATTTTAGGCCAATTCAGTTTATATGCCGTCAATTTTCCATTATGCCTGAAACGTGCATCGCGGAATATTGAAAACGCATGTGATGAGAATAGTGGATTTCTATCTCTCTCCTCCGAACGAGATTTATTCATGAATTCGCTTTATAGTGGGGGTCAACCAATATATAGTGCTTGCGCGCGCGCTGTGCGCGGCGCGCGCGTTGTGTGTGTGTGCTGCGTGGCGTGCGCGCGGCGCAGTGTTATCGTGATGTGCGTGCGGTTGCGTGCCGCGCGCGGCAGATGTTATGTGTGTGGCGTGCGTTATGTGCCGCTCTCAGGTGAATTAGAAATTTCAGCAGCCTATATCAAACCAGCTTCCCGTCGCGAAATAGGAATGAGGCTACAGCCTATAGCGACCCACAAATAGGCGTACTAGACTATTACAATGACACGAATCTCATGGTATTACGACACTTAACGCGTAAGTCTGCACGTAAAGGAAAATAATATGGAGGTCATATCTAGAATCTGCCCAGATGCATAACGTATATTAATATTCCTCTGTACTAACGGTTATCTCGGCCCCGTTTGCATTCCACTCGTCGCTACATTACTTCGTTTTGTTGTTACTGCTTATTGCCTTCAATACCAATGCAGTTTGTTGGGCACATCACTGACTAGTATAAAACCAAACAGCAATGAATTGTTTTTATCATAAGTATCGTGGAATTCTTGTGATTCTTGTAATACAGATAGAGCAATGCCGGCGGACTGGCAGGGTGTGCAATCACAGCTTGCATACTATGTATAGATATATGTAAGTAGACCATTTAATTATTACACCTACTATAACGATTTCTTGATTGTTCGTGCAAATAAGCTGGCGAAACACTACAGATTATCAGTAAAACATAGAAAAGTGGCATGTGATCGCCAACTACATTGTATCCCCGTTGTGCTCCCCAAGAATGTGTAAGTAATACGAAGTTTCGTCGACGCCCTAAGTCACATTAGGGGCCGAGTTTATTAGAGCGGAAGGAAAATATTGATGAAGGTCCAAGGTCAAGGTCTAAGCTCATAGACTTCAATGTCAATAACAGCGTATGACAGCTGACCTCGCGATTTCGGTTACGCGGACACACCTTCTCCCAATATCGCGTTAAGATATACCAGGTTTGGGTCGCGCTAGGTCAATTAGGAACGGAGTTATTAGCAGCGGAGACGGAAAGTCATGATCAAGCGTCAAGATCAAGATGAAAGCGCAGTGACCTGGTTTATGGTACGCGACACACTTTCCCCCCCAAGATGTGTAAGTATATGCAAGTTGCGTAGTAGCGCACTAGGTCAGATTAGGGGCCGAGTTATAAGAGCAGCAAGAGAAATATGATCATGGTCAAGGTAAATGTCAAATAAAGTCGGTAGTGACCTCTGGTCTTTGGGTAGCGCTAGCGATCAATTAGGGGCGCAGGTTATAGAGCGGAACGGCGAATATGATCAAGGTCAAGCCGTCACAATAAAGTCGCAGTGCACCTGGTTTTGGCGTACGCTGCACACCCTTCTCCCCAAAGATGTGTAAGTATATCAAGTTTGGTAAGGTAGCGCGTGAGGTCAATTAGGAGCCGGAGTTATAAGAGAGCAGAAGGCGGAAATAGTGATCAAGAGTCAAGGTAAAGGTTCAATAAAGCGTCGCAGTAGACCTGGTTTTTGATACGCTCTTGCTCACTTCTCCAGATGGGCTGTAAGTAATACCAAGTTGTAGCGCTAGGTCAGATTTAGGGCGGCCGATTACGAAGAGTGGAAGGGCGAATATGATCCAAGGTCAATGTAAAGGTCAAATAAAGTCGCAGTGAACCTTGTGGTTTGGTACGCGTGCTTACCTTCGGCCCTGAAGATGTGTAAGAATATAACCAAGTCTTTAGCGTTAGCGAGTAGGCTGAATAGGAGTCGGCAGTATAATAGACGCGGGAGGGAATTGTCTGCGGCGCAGCGGCGGCAGCTGGGGCAGATATGAAACCATAGTGATCCCCGCACGACTTCCGTCGCGGGGGGCGATATCAGATTATACAAGAAATGCATGCGGCCATGTCAGACGCGTTGTTTGTTAGTCAGTGTAAAGAACGGATGCAGAAGATAATCGAGAAGCAAAACCAATTACGTATGTGCGAAAAGGAGCCGGTGATATAATCCTGTGATGAAAGCTCTAACCATCACAACTAGACACGCAATTCGCTCGTAAACTGACTTCAAACATCTCTATGGCTGCGCCAACAAGGGCTCGATGGCAGCCACGCAGTCAGACTAATGCAGCACTAAGCCTTTTCGCGTACGATGATATCATCTGCTCAATTTTTTTTCCAGAAATGAGATTCAGACGGCTCCCGTCATGATGCCTGACAAGAGAATATTCCCCGCGAGGGGGAACAGTACTGGTAGTCGAGAGAATCTCGGTAGAGGCGCCACCTATCCACCCATCGAAGAACTACGTCGATTCACGAAACCGGACATAGTCACAATAAATTACACAGACGTCATAGCAGAAGAAGATAGCGGTAGTGAGTCCAGCAGGCTACGGGCGGCCAATGTACATACAACTACGGCGGGAAGCGAAGGTAGTCGTGGACAAAGTCATCAGAAAACACCGGATAGCAAAGATAATGAACGAGGAGCGGCGGCGCAAAGAAACTGTACTGCTATAGCAGGGATATTGACACTAACTTATACTAGATAATGCAATGACAGTGGCTATGTTATATCCATTACGACATGCCAATAGAATTAGCATGGCTAATTATTACTGCACACGGCGATGAGGCGATAACGAGACTACTGTACCCGGTATACTGCGACATTTAATCATAATTATGATGACCAACTAGCTTACATAGGCAATGGGCGATGCAGGTGGCAGATAAGTTAAATACACACTACCACGGCGGAGAGATAGTGGTGAAGTTAACCATAATGACGATTTAGACCATGCTCGTGTTGGTTATTGACAATTGAGGGCCCACAGGAAAGTGCTGCGAGCGACAGCCATTCCCCTAATACGAAGAAATATTTAAAGAACATGAAGATGAAGGATTGGTGTCATACAGGCACGGGAATAACAAGGAAGTAGGTTTCTATAGAAGACTATTACAAATGACATGGAGGAATATTAAAGCGAAGAAGCATGGAACAGGGAGGACGAATCATGTATGACAAAGACCGAGCAGAAAAGATGAGAACATAGAAGCCAAACCAACAATACTGATGAACTGAGAATGGAAAAACAGTGAAGGTGAAAGAAAATGAAAACAATAGACGACGACGACAGACGAAGAAGGCTGAGAAAGACGCACAGGAAAATAAAGAGACAAGAGAAAAATGACGAAGAAGGAGGAAGAAGAAGAAGGCAAATATGAAGCCAAGACAGAAGACGACAGAAGAAGAATATTAGTATGGCGTAATGCTGAATCAAGAAGCAGGAGAGACAGGAAAATTCGACTCTGTGAGGAGATGAGCAATGAGAATGAGGGTTATAGGTCATCACAAGGATTGGAGGAAAGAGAAGGTTATGTACACTGACCGAGACAAATCAGAAGAAGAGTCCGCAGAGACGTGACTATCATGAACGAGAAACACAAAATTTATGAAAGTACACACACACGAAAAGGTGATGGAAGACAAACTAAAGCGAAGTGTGAGGAAGACAGCTGAAGAAGAAGCTGAAGAAAACACAAGAGAAGATGATGGATGACACGAGAATCAGGGACGACAGGAGAAGATAGCGGTAGTGAGTCCAGCAGGTACGGCGGCAATGGTACATACAACTACGGCAGGAGCGAAGGTAGTCGTGGAAAAGCATCAGAAAACACGGATAGCAAAGATAATGAAGAGGAGGGCCGCAAAGAAACTGTACATTATAGCAGGGATATTGACACTAACTATACTAGATATAGCAATGACAGTAGTGATGTTATATCCATTCGACATGGCAATAAGATTAGCATGGCTAATTATACTGCACACGGCGATAGGGATAACGAGACTACTTACCCGTATACTGGACATAATCATAATGATGATGCAACTAGTTACCATAGGCAAGGCGATGCAGGTGCAGAAGTTAAATACAACTACACGGCGGGAGATAGTGGTGAAGTTAACCATAATGACGATAGACATGCTCGTGTTGTTATGACAATTGAGGGCACAGAAAGTGGCGAGCGACAGTCCATTCCTAATACGAAAGAATATAGAGAACATGAAGATGAAGATGGTGTCATACAGGCACGGGAATACAAGGAAGTAGGTCTAAGAACTATTACAAATGACAAGGAGGAATATAAAGGCGAAGAAGAGGAAAGGGAGGACGATCATAGTATGACTAAGACCGAGCAGAAAGATGAGAACATAGAAGCCAAACCAATAACTACTATGACTGAGAATGGAAAACATGAAGGTGAAGAAAATGAAAACAATGACGACGAACAGGAAGAAGGGGAGAAAGACGCACAAGAAAATAAAAGACAAGAGAAAAATGACGAAGAAGGAGGAGAAGAAGGCAAATATGAAGAAGGAGAAGAAAAAGAAGAAGAAGAAGAAGATAGTATGGGTAATGCTGATCAAGAAAGGAGAGACAGGAAAATCGACTCTGTGAGGGATAGGAATGAGAATGAGGGTTATAAGGTCATCAAGATGGAGGGAGAAGAAGAAGGTTATGTCATGACTGAGACTAATCCAGAAGAAGAGTCCGAGGGCGTGGCTATTATGAACGAGAACAAAAATTATGAAGGTAGAGAAAGGGGAAATGAGGAAGACAAACTAAAGGAAGGTGAGGAAGACAGCGAAGAGGAAGAAGAAAAAAAAGAAGAAGACGAGCATCAAGAAAAATATGATGATGAAGAGACAGAAGAAGACGAAGAAGAAAAAATCGAAGTAGAAAAATACGATGGTATAGATAATACTCAGGAGGAACGCAAAAACGAGGAATTAGATGCACATGACATATCTACGCCTACTGGGGGAGACGACAGAGAAAACGAGGAAGGCGAAGGGAAAGAGGAAGAGGCAGCACAAGAGGAAGAATATAGGGAAAATAAGGAAGACGGCGAGGAAATAGACAAAGAACTTGTAATGGTTAAAGCTAATCAGCAAACGGAAGGCATAGAAGTAGTCCCCAGCACAAATACCAAGGAGAATGAAGAATATGATGGCAAAGGGAACGAGGGTGAAGAAAAAATCTATAGTATGACTAAGACTAATCAGGAAGGAGAGGCGATAGAAAACAAACGCGTGACTACTATGAATGAGAATGAGAAATATGAAGGTGAAGGGGATGGTGCCTATGCAGAAGAGGAAGATGAAGGGGAAAAAGACGGAGATACAGAAGAAGTAGGCGAAGAAGAGGCAGCTGAAGAAGAAGACGAAGAAGAAGAAGAAAAAGAAAAAGATGTCACCGCTGAAACAAAAAAGTTTTTCAATCGCTCCGTCAGACCATGTCCTCAGAAAATGTCTAAAATCTGCCCTGTGCCCCATTGACCTTTAACCTGTGACCTTCAATTTCGGTACAGTGATGGCTTTTCCTACCATGATGCTATACACCGACTATCACGAGCTTTTAGATCACCGTTTAGATTTGTGCCGCAATTCTGCATTTCCTACCTATACCTTAAGTTAAGGAAGGAATATTCCCCCTTCTCTTACACCTCTTGACCCTTGACCTTTGACCCCCAGCTTCGACATCCCAACTCGTTTTCGGATTACCCCCCCACGTCCCGAATATCGTGACCGTACAAGCCCAACTGTTGACGGACGGACGGACGGCCGGACGCTCATGCGATTCTACAAGCTGCATCTGACTATGTCAGATGAGCTAATGATGACTAAATATAATATGAGGTTATCGCGACGAATGTTCACTAACTTATTAACCTTAATTATCGTTAGCCAATTATGGCCAGCTAAGTACTTTAAGTTAATTATTGCCAGAATTACAACAGTTACATAACTATAGAGGAAACATTTCAAAGAAATTATACCTCTAGCCTAATCCTATCATCTTATAATTCACGTTTCGTTCAGTCAACCAGACAAATTATGCACGCGGCGTTCACGCTCTATAATTTAGATAAATTTTTGTTATCATTACTGCACAACGAAAGGGGTTTACTAGGCTAAACCTTGAACATTTGGTAGAACAAGAGACGTTGCTACCATGGTAGAGAGTCTTAACGAATTTGCATGCAGTCCGTATATGAACGCCATCTTTCTTTTAATCACGATGTGTAGATGGGGGCGTTTGCTGCGTGTGCGTTATCACGCATTATTCCTGGCAGTTTATTATCGCATGAAACTCGCGTCATTTTACCTTTTTTCACGGTGAATGACTCAGTTTTGCAACATTTGATGCCGCGTGGACTATCACTGGTTCGCACGAATCGAGCACGCAGCGACACTCAATACTTCAGGGAGTATCAACTCTTCCACTCATTCTCCTGGCGTTGACATGTCGCTTAATATAACCTATCGCCTATATGACTTATAAGACCTTTAAGACCTATATTTCGTAAATAATCTAAATGAACTATATGATCTATATGTCATATATAATCTACATGAACTATATGATCTATAAGACCTATATGTCATATATAATCTACATGAACTATATGATCTATAAGACCTATATGTCATATATAATCTACATGAACTATATGATCTATAAGACTTATATGCATGACCTATATGACATATATGATCTACATGACCTATATGACCTATCGCATAATATAACCCGATACATCAACAAGCACGCCGCTTCAATTCTACCTCTAACCTGAATATAGAATACACGATTAAGGACCTCTCATCCGAAATTTCTACACTTCTTCCTATTTCGCAAGTAAAAGGCGAGCTCGCACTATGTCTATAATTTCATCACATACTTCAGCCATTCGACATTTTTTGTCCGATGTATTGTCTTTGTATCATGTCAGCAGGTACATTTTTGCACACAGGGGAGCTAAAAGGCTCAACAAACGTGGTGCAACCGGTTGTCATGTATATCAGGTTATCGTGTTATCAGGTATATCATGTTAGGAGGTGCCTGCTTGGCATATAGAAGGCCATTGAAAAAATGAAGAAACGTAGTAAAACCAGTTTCACTTGTACAATGCATTCGTTAGACCGTTTAGTGTAGTATGAGGCACATGTTAATGAGTTACACCTCTATTCTCCTACTCTCTCTTTCTCTTACCCCTCTCTCTCCCTCTCTCTTCCCCCTCTATCTCCATCTCTCTCTCTCTCTCTCTCTCTCTCTCTCTCTCTCTCTCTTTCTCTTTCTCTTTCTCTTTCTCTTCCCCTTTCTCTCTCTCTTTCGCTCTCTCTTTCTCTTTCTCTTCCCCCCGCTCTCTCTCTCTCGCTTTCGCGTTCCCTTCTTTCTTTCTGCATCTCTCTCTCCCTCTCTATCTTTATTTCTCTCGCTCCTCTTTCTTTATCTCTCTCTCTCTTCTCTCTCTTATAATCATCACACTGGCTCTCCTTTTTCGTCTCCACACACGTTTTTCTCTTTCGACCAACTTTATGTCTTTCCCTTCCCGCACTATAAATTTTACACCACGTCAACTCCGTTGTTGTAATTAGGTGCGTATTACTCGTGTTTAATGTGCAAATATACAACTAATTACTAAAATCATAAAGGAAGCTCACAGAGAAAGAATGTCACTGAAATAGCATTATTTATAATGTTCGCCATTGAATTTTAATCACGTCCTTATACAGTGGGAAGGTCATCATAAAGACGATGAGAACGTGTCCACGTCACATAGTGACATAGGACGAGACATTTTGCGTGTATAGCATATCAAGGTATGTAACGAGAGTTTACCCTTAATGCCAAGCTAAATGACTTTCCTGAGTAGAAATGCTCTTCACTGTCACCAGCTAAATAATTCGAAAATAACCATGCCGTTTAACCCTACCCATGACAAATTGGAACCCATAAATACCTTTGAACTCGTTCTCATTCTCTCTCGTTATATATATATATATATATATATATATATATATATTTATGTGTGTGTGCGTGCGTGCGTGCGTGCGCGTGTGTGCGTGTGTGTGTGTGCGTGTGTGTGTTGGCCCACACTGTGCTGATTTCTAAAAGACACTATAACACGGCTAATAGCTGCTAATTCTTGCGTGAAAACAGGATTTTGCACAAGCATGTATACGTGTCTGCTGCTTACTGATCATGGATGGATGGAAACCCGCTTGTCTGCTCTCATGACCTGCATGCCAATTGTACTACTCCGCTTGCATATATAAGGACTGATCAAGGCAGGCTTACATAGTTTAGCCGTCCTCCTCCGCCGCACACGCTCACGCGCATACGCACTCTACACGCGCACAATTATATGCACTGGCGAAGTAATAGCATCAGCGAGAGAAGACTGGCGTTTATGTAGACTTCACACGAGAGACGACGAACGCATTTTGACTACTGATCTACCAAGTAAGTGAATAATATGTAGACATTAGTTGTCCTATATGTAATTACGAACATGCGCTGGGAGAGAAGCCCGAATGAAACAAATTTTACTGGGATCAGCTAGTTGTCCACTAACAACGTATAGCGAATTATCTTCATCGCATTATCATAATTCCATCGGTTTTTCTATTGCAAGTCATTATTAGTTTAATGGAAATTGTTGGTTATAAAACGTAGGATAAATTATAAACCTGTAATTAAAATTATCCTAGGAAATATTCTACTAAGCTTGCGTACAAGATTCACAATGGATTATCGAGCCACGCTAACAAGGAGTAAACACTGTTTAACGAATTAGCATTGAGAAATCATGGCACGCAATGCACGCGCATGGTTAGTTTGAATGAAAAAAACTTCAGAAAGTTGAAGAAGCTTCAAGAAGCTTCAGAGCTCCACGCTCAGTATCCACATATTGTTAAATGCAAAGGCAATATGAGGATATTATTTTTAGGCAAATTTAGTATATGCCTCCAATTTTCCCATTGCTGAAACCGTGCATGCGAATATTGAAACGCATGTGATGAGATGTGGATTTCTTCTTCCCTTCCGAACGAGATTTATTCATGAATTCGCCTTACTAGTGGGGTCACAATATTAGTGCTTGCGCGCGCGCGTGCGCGCGCGCGTGTGTGTGTGTGTGTGCGTGCGTGCGCGCGCGCGTGCGTGTGTGCGTGCGTGCGTGCGCGCGCGCGTGTATGTGTGTGCGTGCGTATGTGCTGCTTCAGTGAATTAGAATTTCAGAGCTATATCAACAGCTCCCGTCGGAAATAGGAATAGCTGCCTATAACGACCAGAATAGGTACTAGCTATACAATGACACGAATCTTCACTTAACCGTGTATGACGTAAAGGAATAAATGGGTCATTTCTAGATCTGCAGGGCATAACGCATATCTCGCTAACGTATCTCGGCCCCCTGTGTACATTAGTTATTGCTAATACCATGCAGTTGTTGGGCACTCACTACTATATACCACACAATGAATTGTTTTTATCATAGCTAATCGTGGATTCTTGTTTTCTTATACAGATGAGCATGCGGCGGCTGGCAGCGTGTGCAATCACAGCTTTCATACTATGTATAGTATATGTAAGTAGACCTTTAATTATTACACCTACTATAACGATTTTGATTGTCCGTGCAAATAAGCTGGCGAAACATACAGATTATCAGTAGAAACTAGAAAGGGCAGTTGTCGCCAACTACATGTATCCCCCGTGTGCTCCCCAAGATGTGTAAGTATACGAAGTTTGGTCGCGCTAAGTCAATTAGGGGCCGAGTTATAGAGCGGAAGGGAAATATGATGAAGGTCAAGGTCAAGGTCAAGCTCAAGCTCAATGTCAAATAAAGGTTGCAGTGACCTGGTTTCGGTACGCGACACACCTTCTCCCCAATATGCGTAAGTATACCAAGTTTGGTCGCGCTAGGTCAATTAGGAACCGAGTTATAGAGCGGAGAGGAAGTATGATCAAGGTCAAGATCAAATGAAAGCTGCAGTGACCTGGTTTTGGTACGCGACACACATTCCCCCCAAGATGTGTAAGTATAGCAAGTTTGGTAGCGCTAGGTCAATTAGGGGCCGAGTTATAGAGCTATGAATGAGAATAGACAAAACAAAGATGGAGGGGGTGGATACGATGTAGAAGAAGATGAATACGAACAAGGAGAAGAGCAAAATAACGGAGAAGAAGAAGGAGAATACGGGGAAGAAGAGGAGAAAGAAGAAGATGAACACAAGGAAATGGAAGTGGCCAAGAATGATGGTATGGATAATGCTCATCAGGAACGGGAAAACAAGGAATTAAACGTATATGAAGAACCTAGGAATGGTGAGGGAGAAGGCAGCAATGACGAGGGAGATGAAAGGGAAGAGGAAGAGGAAGCAGAGAAAGAAACAGCAAAAGAAGCAATCGAAGAGAAAGAAGAGGAAGAGGAAAAAATAGAGGACGAAGCTGTAACGGTTATTTCTGATCAGGAAAAGGGTGTCGAAGAAATTGACCCCGTCACTACTACCAAAGAGAATGAGGAGTATGACGATGAAGAAAATAAGGCCAAAGCAGAAGTTTATAGTATGACTAACAATGATCAGGAAGGAGAGGCGATAGAAAACAAACGCGTGACTACAATGAATAAGAATGGATATCATGAAGATGGAGGGGATGGAGACATTGTAGAAGAGCATCATGATAATAATAAAAACGACGAAGAAGAAGATGAACACGAACAAGGAGAAGAGCAAAATGAAGGAGAAGAGGAGGAAGAAAAAGAAGAAGAAGAAGAAGAAGAAGAGATAGAAGAAGACGAGGTAGAAAAAGAAGTAGAAGAAGACGGAGAAGATGAAATGGAAGTAACAAAAGATGACGGTGTTGCTAAGGCTGCTCAGGGAACTGTAAGCCATAAATTAAATCTACGTGAGGAATACGAAGATGATGAGAAAGATGACGAAGTAGACGCGAATGAAAAAGGAAACAAGGACCGTGAAGAGAAAGAAGAAGAGCAAAAGGAATCGGAAGAGGAAGAAGATGGTATTGCTAAGGCTGGGCATGAAGGACAGAAGGAGGCTGATAGCATTGGTGCTATGATTGACAATAAGAAAAATGAAGACGAAGAGGTAAAAGATAAGCAAGATGACGTCAATGACGAGCCACAACAGGATGCAGCGGCTGCAGCAATAGGAGACGGTCCAGCATCGGCTGAGCAGGAAAGGGAAGATAAGGCGGTAGACCACAAGACTAATACCAACAGAGATGAAGCATATGATCAGGGGGTAGAAGGAGGAGAAGAAAAGCAAGAACAAGAACAAGAAGACGACGAAAAGGAAGTAGTAAAAAGAAATGATACGAATAAGGTGATTCAGGAACGGGGAAACAAGGAACCAGACTCAAATGATGAAAATGAGGGTGAAAAGCCAGACAAACAAGACGAAGAAGCAGTTGAGAAAAAAGACGAGGATGAAGGTGAAGAAACCAGGAAAGTCAAAGAGGAAACGCATCCAATTCCGAATAACAGGGACGATGTTGCACTAACAGATGACAGATTGACTACGACCAAAGGCACACTTCCAAACAAAGAAGACAGCACACCTACTCGAGGTAGAGTATTTGACGACGTGACGGTGGATGAGAAGATAAATGAAGAAGCTGGTGACCATGAACAATCTCAAGAGGATCAAATGACCGTATTGGAAAGTGATGATGATAGTGCAATTGACGATGGCAGTAGTGCGCCTATCACGAACAAGGATATTGCGCTGAAACAAGAAATGAATGACCCACATCAATCAGTGCTAGAACCCTACAACGAAGAAAAACGCACTGGTGTGAACCGCGAAGGAGGCGAAAGTGACTCTATTATTAATAATAACAACGGGCATTATAGAAGGAGAGGTGAAGTAATCATGAGGAATAGGAACACAGGAGGAAATCGTGTCGCAGTGTGGGGTGATAAACATGACAATGTCTTCGACAATTTCTTTACACAGTTAAATTCAGTGCTATCATCTTTTATGAATGACCTCGTAGATACGCTAGCAAACTGCACCAGTAGCATTCACAATAACCATTAATAGAAATTCGAACTAAAGCAGCAATAAAGACTTGTGTTATAGAGAATGCAAGAATATTGCCAATAATACGTAGCTCGTGTGTTGCGATATATTAAATATAGTTTTATCGTCGTCGTGGATGAAAGGCAAATGATATATTCTGATTATGTTGGATCTCATTGAGAGGAAGGAATGTGTATCAAAGTTATATTAATTACAGTAATTACAAATACTACTTGATTTTGTGATTTTCTAGTAGTTTATTATTTAAAAATATTTGCAGCTGTTTCTACTTCTACCACTATGACTGCAACTACCGCTTCCACTACCAATACAAATACACAATACACATGTCTTGTCCTAAAGAACAGAAACTATTTTTATTATAAAACAAACTCCTCCGGACTACACACTGGTTTACCAATGATTTACCCTTTCAGTCATGAAACTGCGACAATTGACGTCAGATTTCGCACAATGACTGGTTTTGCCATAGTGACATTAGATGTTAGATTTGTGCCTTACGTTTATCTACTGCTCATTGGTGCAATGATGGCCGCACTCATGCAAGTTACAGGGATATTCTAAAATTTGTATCTTTCTGGCGTTTAACTTTACTTTTTACTTGTAACCTGTAGTTGCAACACGATTTTACGCTTTGATTTTACGATTTTTCGACATACACGCTACATAACAAACAGCACCAGTTAACTATTTATGCCCACATAACATTACTCGCGGACTGATAGTGAGACGGGTGGATAAAAACAAGAGCGTATAAAGAAGGAGAGCGTACAACGGTAAAATGCTGAAACCATGTTGCAGTATTAGTCGAATTAATAAAACTTTTTTCCGTTTTATTTTGACGATTCTTTGCAGTATTATTGATCAGCTGTCCATACCTTGTTCATATAAAACAAACCGCATGTTCCCTACGATGCCATGACGCTGAGATAATGAGGCGGAGCGAAAATCTGGTATTTTCGGCTGAAACACGACCTTAGACATTAGTCAGTACTGCATCACTCTCTCGAAGTGTTTCCACTGTGTGTTGCTTCGTCAGCACGCTGTGTAGCGCCATAGTGCGGCTGACGTCACGTAATACTACCAGAGGCGTGTTCAGGAGAGCGAACGCTCGCTAGCGGCTTTCGCTATGCGTTCGCCTTCTGAACGACACTGCGCGAGCGATGCGCGAGCGAACTTGCGGCCGCAAGTTTTCAAAGGCTGTTCGGCCAGCGAGGCGGGGGTGCTGTTTTTCAGAATTGTGCGACGAAAAATGCTGGCGATGCGAATCTAACATTTCTGACGTCAATTTCTGCAATCCGATTTCATACTTTATTTGCACGCTTTCATTCATCATTTACTTCTAATTCATTTTGAATCAAATTTCGACTCTGCTAATTCGTTAACCAGTATCTTGTTAATAGCTCGCGATTAGAAATCTGCTGAGTAACCTCCATGGGGGCCCGCACTTTGAATTCAAGCTCGCGAGCGGACAGCGACACACGCCGAAAGCGCTCGTGTGTCATCGTTCAGGAGCGCTGCGTTCTTCATCGCGACGTTCGCATCGAGCCTCGCCGTCTCCTGTGAACATCGCCTCAGAGTTTACTATACATGCCAGCCGTGAGGAGCTGGGCGTGAGGTGGCACAGTGGGGAGGTCACAACTATGGCAATCAATAACAGACGTCACTTCATTCCATTGTGTCAATTCATTGACGGAAAACACGCAAGGTTTACGCGAAGTTTATAAACACTTCGAGGAGAAGTGATGCCAGATACTGACTAATGCTCTAGCCGCGTGTTCAGCGAAAAATACCAGAATTTTCACCCCCTCATTATCTCAGGCGTATAGGCATCGTAGGGAACATACGGTTTGTTTCATCATGAACAAGGTAGGGACGGCTGATCAATAATACTGCCAGAAGAATCGTCAAATAAAAGGAAAAAGTTTATTAATGTCGACTAATACTGCAACATGGTTTCAGCAATTTTACCGTTGTACGCTCTCCTTCTTTATACGCTCTTGATAAAAACCAGTGCGAGTATCACCGCATCTACACGCCAGAAATAAAAATTCAGATCAGCTGATAAAAAATATTAAGTAGGCAAGAACCAACTTTAATCGGAAAAACTACACTGCCTCATTTCAAAAGTCAATCGCATGTCATATGGTGCAAACACCACGGAAGAATAACAGAGCTTACACGAAATGCTACGCATCGTCGTTATGTATAAATATCCAAAATAGTGTGGGCACAATAGCAAGGCAAATCTGCTTCTAGATATAAGATGAACACAAACCAATATATTATCGACCGAATCCTGAACAATATACCGGAGTCACAGACGGCTTATACAGACCTGGAGTAGATTCTGGAGAGATTATTTCGGGAGGCACGGGGCAGCTGGGGATATATATACCTACAACCAAAATAATGGCGATCGAGTTGGTTCCAGTTCTGTATGATTCATTGCGGGAGGCGAAACAGCAGGAATATACAACCAACACGGCAGGTTTTCCTCACGACGCCCTAGTATACTAGTAATTAACAACCCAGAAGAAAATATGCGGTTTACGTTAGTGAAAAGATAGGACTGCATCGCACTTCCAATGCCAACATGATTGTGCAATCTTGGGGTCTGTCGTAGGCGCTTGCATTACTTACAAGTAAGGGTAATAAAACACATATGCTTCTGGTCTTTGTTGCATCGTTTTTATTGGCCGATTTCCGACGAGGTTTGGCGAAACTGAGATTAGCTCGCAAATCGTGTTTATAATAGTCATCATTTGTATGGTAAAAAGTAGCTATTCCGAGTGAAGCGTTATTGAAGCGTTATTTCTCGAGACACCTGGACTACGACAACAGCAATTACCAACGCCACGATTCCTAGCTTAAGGTCACATATATAGTAGCAGCAACGTTGAGTGGGCGTTTTCTTTGTACTTAGACTCTAGATTCCTGTTGCCTGGACGCGTATAGTAATCCCCGCATCACGACTCTAGCAGCTGGATAATATTTTTCCTGTCAGCGTGATGGGTAGGTGATGCGACGTGCTGGGATAACTACCTACTCTTTGTGTTGGAATGTCGGGGTGAAGGCCGGGATGCGGATCCACAGACGCTGCCAAATCACGTGACTCACGAGTATCTCTTGTAGACACTCCAGATTTGTGAACGCCGTGCCACACCTACGTCTAGCATTAAAGCCGCACTATGCGCATCTACACGCTCATTTCTCCAGTACTAGACTAGCAAATACTTCGTGTCATGCAGAATCATACTACCTTATGACAAAATAAACTCTAGTTCCTCCCATTTCCCTGCGCGTTGTCTTATAAAAGGCATTTGAAAATACCTCCAATGTTGTTCAAATTCTCCGATGTTGTTGACAGTTTCGCGTTGCTCTCCCAAGCAACCGCGTGCAGCGGTGATGCGGTACAGCGGTACGGGTGTAGCAAAGATAAAAACATGTGACGTCACCTAACCGATTCTTGGCGAAATTGTTTGGCAAACAATTTAGCGTTGGCCCCAGATTACCAGATTTCGCACCTCTTTCTTGTGGGTTTTAAGCAAACGCGCAGTGAAATGGGAGGAACTAGAGTTTATTTTGCCATAAGGTAGTGTGATTATGCATGACAAGAAGTATTTGCTAGTCTAGTACTGGAGAAATTAGCGTTTGGATGCGCATAGTGCGGCTTTAAATTGGAAATATTTCTAATTATAATCTACTGTGCAAATAAACGCTGAGCCTATAGATAAGCAACGCAAGCAATGCAAGCGGATCTGCTGCGAACACGCATCCACGAACGCCCTTGCGTAATGTGTTTGCGATCCCTCCGACATCAATACGAAAATAGGTTCACGTTAAAAAAACAAAGCGCATCTCAATGCGTGACCTATGATTACAAACTGCGCAAATACGGAGCGACGCCTGGACAAATTATGCCGGTTTTAGACTTATGGAAAGACTTATGAAAGGATCGTGTCAAGAATGTGAAGGTCGCGCAAGCAGCCGTGTGCAGACAACCGTGACTCCTAGTCCGCCTGACTCGCTATAAGAGTAGCAAGTTGAGCCGAAAATCGCTGCTTTCACATCGACAAGTCTTAGACGGTTTATAGTTCTGCGTGACTCCGGTAGGTAAGATTGCACTCAGTAGCTAATATAAGTTGTAGCTTATATATTTATATAGATTATTATTATAGATTATATTCGACTGATTCGTTAAAGGTATAAAGCCTGTGATTAAATCGAATGCTAATACTATATAAAAGTCTATGGCTGCATACTTTGCGCATACTTAGCCCCGATCGTATTTATTGATTTTGTTTGTTTTATTTAATAAATTATTGTACGTTAATATCAGCTTTATCATTATAGTTATCAGGTGGTGACCTACTGCAAGTACTTTTGGTTTCGAAAAACCAAGATGGCGACATTAACGACTACGCTGCTCTTCTGTGTGCTCATGGTAAGTTTCCTATTCCTCCGTGAAAATAGCTGGAATATTCCTCACTGGAACAACCAATACTACAAATATTCGCGACTGGAATATCTTATACTACAATATTCTCAGCTCTTATCCCCACGGCTACAATATTTACAGATGCAAAATTCCACGCTGAAATATTCACTCCCGTGAATATCCACGTTTGCAATATTCGCCTTTGCAATTCCCACGTCAGCAATATTCGCGGCTGTATTATTCGCGAGTGAAATGTTCGCGCGTGTCAATATTCGCGGACGCGTTAGTCCCGCACGCACGCTTACACTAGATCCGCATCTAACGCCGAGGTTAACCATAGAACTAGAATAGAAATTAGATACTTAGATAGTTAGATACATCGAATTCTATTCTAGTTCTGTGGGGTTAACACGCGTTATCGCCGCAGGTCTCAGCAAGCGCAACCTTCTGGCAGAACTCACGGCGTGACTACACCAGACCTAGCAGCGTGTACAGCGCCAACCAGCAAAGCTCCGGCTTCGGTGGCACCGCCTCCCATGCTTCCCTCGGTGGGTACCAGACCTCCGCCAGTCAGACGGCCAGCCAGTACGGCGGGGGAGGACACCGGCCTGGTTACAATGTACCGTACAGCGGCAGCAGCAGCTATAACACGGGACAGCAGGGGAGTAATCTCTATGGATTGCTCGGCAACTCTGTCCACACGAGACCAAATTATGGAGGAAACATCGGAGGAAGCAACTACAGGCCCAGCTATGGAGGGAGTTCCCACAGGCCATCATATGGAGGGAGTTCCACCAGACCATCATATGGAGGCAGTTCCCACAGACCATCATATGGAGGCAGTTTCCACAGACCATCATATGGAGGCAGTCACACCAGACCTTTCTATGGAGGCAGTTCCCACAGACCCACCAATGCAGGTAGTCACATCAAACCTTACCATGGTCAAGGAGGTACTATCCCCAGCGTGTATATCATCAGACCATCAGGCTATCATGGACGCCAGCAGAGGAGACGCAACTCCTATTACGGCCCCTCAACCCGTCCGAATCACGTGCGCTACGCGTAAGTAATTATCGATCAATCAGATTGAAGATGGCGAAAAGAGGAGGATTTTACAGGCGACTAGAAGATTAAGTCGCTCGCACGGCAGGTGTACGCTCACGCACACCGTATATGCACGTAATCACCTTACTGTGTGTTTAATGGCTGGCTACTGTCACGTAGTACTGGTAGCCTCGCCCAGCTTCTATAAATGATTCTCCGCGGAGCGGTATTAGATCAACTTTCGCACCTCATATAGTCGTTGATATATAGGACAAACGCTAGTAGTAAATACAGACGCTTCTAGCATGTATAGCAAGAGTCCATAATAGAGTCTCTGTTATGGACTCTTGATATATAGCCATCGCTATGTACGTACACCAACGTGCACGTGCGCGCATATTGTCTGTATTCGCAGTGATGAACAATTTCGCAGTGGAGAAGATACTGGTAGGGATACACACACCTACATATACTGGCCTCTTTATTCTGGTGATTAGTTGCGCATTATCTAGTCATAGCGTAGAGATTTAGAACGTTTAGAACGTACCGATTTATGAACGAAATGGAGTATGTCTGCATTGCGTGGTAATGTTATTGCTGTGCCGTAAATCTTGCATATCGTGTGGTGAGATATATTTGCAAATATAACCGTTGACGAAGAGAATAAGTGTGTTATTTCACAATATATTCATCGATGGATGGCGTCACTACTCAGTTTGGCACAGCTGGCCGATGCCAGTGGGTTTAAATTACAAATACGAACATTCCCACAATTTCGTTTCTTAGCAACCAGCGCAACTGTATAACTTCAAAGCCAACTGTGAGCACACTCGCCTCTTTCTTCATTCGCGCGTTGCTGATTTCGCGGATTCTTCACGAAAAAAAACCTCACAATTTCTCGGGATTTAGTTACGGCTTACTTACGTTTGTTTCGTAAATGCGCTTCGTCTGCAGCGGACCTCCAGTCAACAATCAATACCTGCGCAAAGAGAAAGAGAGATAATACATGACGGGGGTTTCAGCATCAGTGAAGTCGCGCGCAGCTAGTAAATCAAGACGCCAATCAAGACATGCGGACGACATAATATGAAATATATACACAACTGCGTGGTTTCCTCGTGGACTGCCTGCATGCTTGCACTCACACGACGCAGATACCAGCTGATAGGCGAATGTAAATTGTGCATATTATGTAAACATAAAACATCGTTCCTGATCTCGGGGAGTGACAGCCGAGAGAAGAGAACGCGCACGATGCAGAGGTTAGTTGGACGTCGGTAAATTACGGAAAACAACACCTATCGAGTAATTTAAGATATTAAAAAAATCCTCGCCTTTTGATCTGCTTGCCCATGACACCTATCTGCGTCTCCTAATCAAGCAAGGAATCGGGAAAGCGGAGGTAAACGAGAAATGCTTCGTGTAATTTAGGGAATTACTATTCGCCAATACTAACGTCGTTGACGTCGTCGTCCTCGTCGTCGTCGTCGTTGTCGTCGTCGTCGTCGTCGTTATCGTTGACGTCGTTGTCGTTGTCGTTGTCGTCGTCGTCGTCGTCGTCGTCGTCGTCCTCGTCGTCATCTTCGTCGTCGTCACTGCGAACGTCGTCGTCATCGTCGTTGTCGTCGTCGTCGTTGACGTTGTCGTCGTCATCGTCGTCGTTGTCGTCGGCGTCATCGCCGTCGTCGTCAGCGTGCAGTTTACACGTGCTAACATTTATGTTCGAGCATATGCCTCTTAAAGCTGCCATGCGGAAAGTGCATAGCTGAAGCTCCACGCTAAGAGCTACTCGAGAGGTGAATACATATTCCCTCTAATGAGCTTTTTCTGTTCGAGTGCTTCCTCTCTCTCACTGCATACCTAAGCGCCGAGAGAAACAATTTCCGCTGACTTGATCCGCACGGCTGTGCTTTCCGTCATTCCGACTGATTTCTTGCTAGTTAACTAATCCTAGTTAACTTAATCCGACGTGAAGGCGAGGCGGGATGCATCGGTACGGCCTCTTCCTTCGCGCGCGTGGATTCTATAGCGTTACTGCGGTGACATCGGCGCGCGTTCTTGGCGTTTGACAAATGCGTTCTCCCCGCGAAATTTTTTAGGGTGTTTAAATTTGCTCACGATGGCAGGGAAGAGCATGCGTTAATTAGAACGAGTGATCGCTATGATGATGAAAGAACTACTACCGTGTGAACGCTTTCCGACCATAGCAGTCATTGCGCTCCCCACTCCCAGCCTCCAGAGCTCATCACGATCATGCGCCAGTAGTCGTACGTTGCTCCACAAGTGACCACTCATAGGTAACACCTCTCTTCTCGTGATCTTTTTTTTCATCACATCAAACCAGGTTGTAAAGGATGAAAGAACGTGACGGCAAGAATAGATATATAGAGAAACAAGAGGTAAAGATAGAGGGCAGCAGGCACATACGCGATTCTTTTCGCCCAACTGGCTCGAAATCTAATTATTACACATTTTTGAAATCTCGAAACTTCTAATTTTGCGGATGATATAACATCGTGCAATCACGAATAAAAATTACGAAAATCACCGACGCAATTACTGATTGCTTCCTTTATAATTGAGAGAAAATCTTCTAAATTACGAATAAAAAACCATATGCATGTGTACGTGCATACATTGACTTTGTTGAATTTCACGATAATGATTAGCAATATACCGGGAACAAGCGGAGCGACTCGATTTACCAAAGATCGACTTGCGAAGTCCCTTGTTTATCTCCGTAGCACTTAGCAACCAAGATTTGCCTCTACCCCCTCCCTCTCTCTCTCCCTCTCTCTCTGTCTCTCTCTCTCTCTCTCTCTCTCTCTCTCTCTCGCTCTCTCTTTCTCTCTCTCTCTCCACCTCTCCATCTCTCTCTCTCTTCGTCTCTCCTCTTATCTCTGCGTCTTTCCCTATTCTCTCTCCGTCTCTCCCGTCTCGCTCTCCTTTTCTCTGTTTTTTCCCCATCTCGCTTCCTCGCCTTCTCCCCCTCTCATTCTCTGTCTTCTTTTCTCCCTCTCCCCGTCCTATTTCTCTCACCCTGTCACACTCCCTGGCTTGGTCGTCCGTGCGTGCCTGCGCGCGCGCGTGTGTGTGTGTGTGTGTGTGGGGGGGGGTACGTGCGTGTGTAATATGTGTGTGTGGGGTGTATGTCTGTGCCTGCGCGTGTGTGGCCCTGCCCACTACTACCACCAAAACGCGTGGGCAATTTCATCACCATGTTAACGCCTATCGCCGTCAAAACCTGCCCGGTGTTCTGCCACGTGTTCTTAAACAAAACACGAAAAAAAACTAAACATAACACGACACCCCCTCTTCTCTACGATAGAGTATCGCTTCTGAGCCAGAACATCAACCACGGCTTGATTTCTGCACACAGAACAGCAAAAAAAGGCTGAGCGTGAAACTACATCTGCGACCATGGCGCTGGTAAGTCAGGCGTCTGCTCAATGTATAGCGTGTTACCGCAGCAGTGAATGTTTATTCCAGCGCAGCATGGCTTTGCTATAGTGCCTTCTGCGTAAACACATTGTGATACTTATACCAAACCACGGCCCTATGCGATGCTATGGGCAGTAGATCCTACAACAAATTGACGCTCTGCTGCGTTTTAGAATCTCGAGTAAACCCGAATTCTGATATTCATTTAGGAAACTGCCATTTAAATTCGCATTGTTAGTTTGGAATGGCTAGGGAAGTACGTAGTTATTTACCTTGTGGGTATTCCATTTCCTGCCGTACGGTGTGGCGAAGAGCGCGGTCTTCCAGCACAGTCAAACGTCACAGGTAAATTTATTCTTCAGCACTTAATAGCATACCTCACTGACTTCTGTCACTGACCACGACCACACGACTGAGCCACTGTCGACTCTGTTCTTCGACACTCCGTCAGAGGTAGGTGACCCCCATATACTCACAACAACAGTGACCAGTCGATGGACATTTTAGCACATATGCACCACTAAGAGAGCGTTAATAATCCTTATCATCGCCATCAGCTGTCTGGCCACCGTCCAGCAAGCAAGGACAAGAGCTGATTCCAGCCGCTACTACAAGCGACACATGCAGTACTGCGAAAGAGTGACGAGTGTACGGGAATACACACATCAAGCGACTATGGAGGATTATGAACGTGTGAACGATGAAAAATCAATGGCAGGAATATAATAATAAAAAGCAACCGCTCCAGGGGGGAGAATAAGAGAAACCCTGACTTTCCGCTACAAACAGGGACCGCTTGATGAAACAAAACATGTTGTTTCAAAATCCGAGAGTTACGAAGCATCCGGAATAGCAGCATATTGCACTCATGTGTAATATTGCGACTCGCTTCGAAACGCTACACAGGGAGGCAAATCGATGTACATGTTCGAGTGACGGACGCTGCACGCTGCGATTTCACAAACAGTTACGATGCGGGATGCCTTCTTCAAAGCAGCACTAACGTCGCCAGTCTCGCAGGAAATTGGAAAAAAATTGAAACCACTGCGAAATAGCATCGATCAAACTACCACCCGCTCACTCCCTCTCCACCATTTCCGTCGCCACGTCGACTGCTGTGTTACCCAACAAGGGACAAATGATACGCTGCTACACAGCAGAACCAAAGCACATCCCATCCTATAATCCCACCACTATCTCACACGTTTTCTGTGGTACCCCCACCGCTCCACATCCTATTCCCCCTCGTTGACTGCAGAGAGCAAAAGCTGCACCAAACAACTTGCATTCTCGATCTTTCATAACTTTCCCGCCGTCACACCGGCTGCTCGTGCACATGCGAGGGAGCCAAAGGTGACAGCACTTAATTTCGCAGTAACTAAATCGACCTGCACGCACTTCGGGAGGCAAGCACACGCGGTGGAGTATCGTCAACAAAAAGGTCGAGAGACGAATGTAAACGCTGACCTCTTTCATGCCGGGCGACTCTGTCGGTCGGTAAGCTGCCCGCCCACGAAACAAAAATCTCCCCAGACGCAGACCCCCCACAAACACATACGTACACGCGCACGCACGCGCACGCACATACACACACATACATACACACACATACA